TTGCTCATAATGCCAAACCCACACAATGAGCACCCTTGTCTGCTGTTCTTCACAGATTTGGGCCACTTTCAACTTGTTGATTTTTTTTCCAGGCATGGACCAAAAAGCCTGCATATACAGAAAACTGTACTCTTGGGTCTCGACACTCTCACTCGTCTAGTGCAACATCACTGCTCTGCCTGAATGTACTTAACCTAATGCTATGCCCCATATTTTACAAGTCTCTTGAACTCTACTGGAGGAATGAACACCTTTCTTTCAACAGGAAAGAACCTGTCTGAATCTCTGACAGGTGTTTAATTAGGTGAAGATCTGGCGGAGAAGGCCATAGGATATGATTCACATAATTTTCATACTCATAAACCATTCAGTGATCCCCCTACAGCACAGCCTCCATCATCCCTGCTAAGGAGTTAGACCTCAATGTACAACAGATAGCCTTCTGTTTCAAATTCCCATTGAAGCTTTTGTGGATTTTGAGGAAGCTCAGCTTCAAATCTTGAATCTTTGTTTGATCATAGTCAAGGTAGTGTCTCATTATGCATATCAAAGTATGTATGTATACTCTTCACAAGCATCTTACCGTATTCTGTGAAAAAACAATACAAGCATTTATTATTAGATTTACAATTTTTATCCCTAAATAAATCATGAAGTTATTTCTATAAAGAACAAAAAGTGTTTTCTCCAGTACATAAGGCGTACTGGGGACCAGACATCAGAACCTTTGAAGTTAGAACAAAGAAAGCACATACTCATTATAAATGCTGTAATAGGTGACAGGTCCAATCTTGCAGACATAGCCTGTGTCTGTTGAACAGTGGATGGAAAATAGGCTTTTAGTATGAGGATCTTTGAAGTACTCCACCTGCATACTGCGATCCAACAGCAGAGTACGGATCCAATCCAAAAACACACTTAATTTTAAAGCAGACTCCACTGGTCAAAGGTGAGGTAAACTTTGTTCCATGCTGGTAAAATAAGGGAGCTCAAAATATCACTTTGGCCAAACTCAGGGATGAGTGAGAAGGTACCTGATATTACTGACGCCATCTCCATGTGAATGCAGATCAACTTTAAAGTGCTACTCACGTCCCAAACGGGGTTCCATCCACATGTGACTTTTCCATTTTACACATTTTACTTTTCTTGCCAAACCTGACCGTGTGGATATTGTATTTTATCGAGTGAAAACTCCGGTGAGTAAATGCTATGAACGATTAGCGTAGCATGCTAGCGATGTCGCCACGGCTAATTGGGTGCTTATTTTATTGAATATGTCTCCACTGTTTATAGATATGCTTCTGTGATAGTGGTTAAAAAACAACCGGAGACAGATGAACATGTGTGCTGAGGTTGAAATTGTATTTTATTGTGTATTTCTGAAGGGGTGAAAAAAAATGACATCTGTGTTAATTGCGCTAGCACATGCTATATCGCTAATAAAGCTGGTTTGAGCTGGTTGTTGAGCTCAAACACACACAGCTGTGTGCACTTGAGTTTACAGAAGATAATTCATTTCAGTTTCTTGGGTAAAAACGTGATTGAAAGTCATTCATTTCATAATTTGTGTACATTAAGCTGTGATGAGTTAAAACTATTTAAAGATTTATTTATATATAATTGTGTGTTGGCTGTTAAAAAGTTATTGTGCAGCTGTATATGATACTTTGTCATTGAATAATTCATGTTCATTCATTGATTAAAGATACAAATAGAGTTAATACTGTACAGTTAAGATAAATAGATAAAAAGAGATTAACGAGATAAATAAGATTTTATTTAAAAGAGATGCTATTACTACTGCTCTATGCAGGTTGTTTTTTTTTGTATGAGTGGATTCTGATGGCGAGCCAGAGCCTAGAGACCGGTGGATCGCGGAGCAGGACGCAGGCCTACACGTGCGGAGGGTGTGACGCCAGCAAGAGCTTCACTGTGCATTGGAAAGAACATCTCTTCATACAGATAAGACATTAAACACAAAATCACACTACCCGGGTAGATAAACAATTACACAACATACTGAAAGTGAACAATTACAGAAAACACACTGAGGAAGGACAAACTGTGAATATTGACTTAATTCAGACTTGACTTTTTCTTTCTTTTTGGACTCTTTTGAATTTTCTTTCTTGCTTTGTTTATTATTTTGGGCCCATATTTTGAGTATGTTTGTAACTTCTGATACAGGAAAGGAATTTCAGTCATGTCTGAAATATTTTATGTTTTGCACTTAAAGGTGGCACTGTTGCCAATAAAGCTATTTTTGTTACTACTTTTTCCAAAACCGTTGTCCTGTTCCATCAATCCTCCTTGAGCGTATCTATATCTTCTGATTTGGCCTAAATTGAGAGTACATGTAGGGCTGGGGGTAAACGATTATTTATTAAACGATTAATCTGGCGATTATTTTATCGATTACTAGACTAATCTAACGACTAATTGGACGAGTAACGTGAGTTAGCTAACGTTAGACAGATAGCGTTATAAGCTACTGCAATCTTATTGCTGCCGTTAGCTAGATCTAGCAGCTGTGCACTTTGGTGGTGCTCTCTGAAATGGAGGCACCTCTTTGCCACTCGCGAAGGAGACAACAACAAGCAAGCACCAACGCTGGCCAAATTGAGGACTTTTTTTTCTTTTATTGGGGCTTTTATTGGGAATTCTGTGAGGAGGTTGCTGTTTCGTCCTCCATTCTGCAATGTTTTGGTCTTCCAGTGTGTGTGTGTGTGTGTGTGGAGCTGTGACGACATCGACGCATCGCTACAGGCCTAAGTACATGACAGTAATTTTATATTTATATGTACATTAGACAGTGTTACAATTGATACAACTTTTTACTTCTGTTGGCAAACAACTATATGAATATAATACGGTTACGACCCGGGTCGTTTTGGAGAGTAGTAACATACAATTGGGATTGGAAATGAGATGGAATGCGACAATTGACAGGTTAAAATCAGCAGTTTAATTAACTAAAGATAGTGCGCTTGCACAATGAAATATAACAAAAGAGGCTATACAGGTGCTGACAAATAACTAGTACACACAATGATGGTGACTAAATGACACTAAAGAACAAAGAGATCAGCACCCATAAGCTTACAAACTAGTGAACAAAAAACAAACTAGCATTTATTCTGAAACTTAAAAGTTCTCAAACAAAAGTGTCCAACTCTTGGTACACTATACAAACTAAACAAGTCACAAAGATTACAAAAGCACTGGCTGAATCCACTCAGAACTAAGAAATACAAACACTCTAAACTAACACAATGGTATGCAACCAACAGTGAGGTGAACTGACCACTGGTTCACAGCCGCCCTGAACTGTGGACACACAAGCAATTTAACTGCAGCTGTGGTTGATTGGAGACTCCTGATTGGTAGCTTTGGTGGAATCACAGCCACACCAATCACAGATGCCAGGGAACAGCAACCAGGAAGTAGGTGGTCTCTGCTCCAGAAGGACCAATCCTCAACAGGGAATCACACAGATGGATTTGCATACCAGCAGAATCAGTCATGAAACAACACAATTAATAACAAATACAATGACATTATTGAAGTAAACTGTAAATGCAGCCGTTCAAGGCTCAGGATAAGTCAATGCTGCACTGAGACAAATCAATATTTTAACGCCATACTGTCAATGGCATCTGTGGACATTTTTGTAAAGCTTAGTTATCCACTCCCACATTACATTTCAAATGTATTCCCCTCTGAGATATAGTGCAGGCAGAAGCATTTTCACATTAGTGTGGACAGGCTTTGAGAGAAGCTGTTTTCTGTTTCAGATTTAACTCTCCAATTTTTCAGATCTGCTCTTTCACCCTCTGTCTTTTCACACTTTGTTTCTTATACAACACATTCAGCTGCATATATTCATATAGTTTTCATTAACTTAAAATCCAAAAGTTCCTAATCAGTGCCCACATCAGGTTTGCCATTACAACGAAGAGCACTGTATTTTTCTTTGAATAAGAGAGTTAAATTGTATCAGAAATCAATCATCACTTGATTACAGTATATCAGTTGTTGAACTTGTGTCCGTGCATTAGAATATAAACTCACTCTTGCCTTCATTTGAACTGACATGATGCCTCAGTTGTGGGATATGTGGCATTCTTTTTATTTCTTTTCCAGTCTTCCCATGGTGGTGGGATCCACATTCCTGTTTACATCTATTATTTTTTCCCCTGATGTGTTTACAGTTCTTCAATGGATATAACACATTCAATTATTGTGGAAATCTATTCCTTTCTTTTATTTATCTTAAGATGCCACAAAAGGTTTTTTACACATTCATTTTATTATTATTCTGTAAGAAAGAGTAAGTATTTCTCTTTCGTATTATTATCATTATCTACTATTTATTTATTTACTTACTATATTGTGTGTGTTTGTATTGTCTTGTTTGTTCTGAGGTCTGTCATGTTTTGTGATTTGATCTGCTTTTCACCATGTTAATGTAAAGTACATTGACCTTCAACCATTGAAAGCAAACCACTTTGCTATGACTCACAGGAACAGTCTTAGATTGACATATAGTGCCCTCCTGTGTTAAAATAGTAAAATGCACACACATACAGGCAGCCACTATGGTTTGTTTTTTGAATGCCAATGGCAATAATTTTTTAAACAATTATTTGATAATTAAAATAGAAATGTCACATTGATTGACTGATCTTCATTTTGGTCTTCTTATATGAATAAAAACTCAAAAAAGAAATGTACCCAAAAACAGCCACAGAATTGTATAAATTTGATAACATTTATAAAATAACACGTTAAGGGCTAAACTGAAGAGTGGGCAGAGAGAAAATTAAATAGGTGTGTGTGTGAGCTGTGGGTGATTTCTTCTGTACGGTAAAAGGCTAACCTTGTGAAACTTTGTTATATCATGCAGATCTATATATATATATATATATATATATAAATATTGTCACCACTGATAGAGTAGATGCCAAAAACCTTAAAAAAAAAGACCCAAGTTGTAATAAAGTAGAAGTCATCTTTTAATTATATTCACCTCAGTTGTCATCATTTTAAACAGCTACAGCTTTTCGTGTGTGGTCCGATTGTAGCTCAAGGCAGTCATTTCTGTCACTGATACATTCTTTCACAGATGCAACAGGCCTGTAAGCCACAAACTGACACTAAACTGCGAAGGCGTTATATGATTCTGACTTATTTCACACTCAGGAACTGAGTGTGCTTGCATGATAGCACAAGCTATCTCAAACTTTTGAAAGACAAGTTAACAGGGAGGAAATCAGAAAACCACATTGGAAGAATAATAAGCCTCTAACTACAACCTTTTTTCATGTTACTGCTCTTCACTGTCTAACTGGCTTTTATGTTCAGTGTTTGTTTTTGACTTTTTGGAAGTTAAAAGATTTAGAATCTACATATAATTATGCATATGTATATCATCTGTATTTTTGAGGATGATCGCAGATCACAGTGTGAAATAGTTTCCATGATGTCTTATTTCTATAGAAAATGCAGTAACATTAACCTACTTACCTGGTTAGTTTGCAAATGGGTTATATAATGAAATTAGAGTGATTTTAGATGCCAGAATGAGTATAACTGTAGCACTCACAAGGCAATAAGTTGTAATATCTTGAGCACAGTAGTACTAGGGTAATAACATTGCAATTACACAGGTATTAATAGCCTGGTAATAGCTTGTGATAATGAGGTTTCATTTCTGTTATGGCATAATGGTGGGTAAAAACTAATTTAAGGTTATAATGGGGAAAAACATTAGTACAACATTTTTACTTTTAAACTTAGAATTAGTGGTATTAGTAGTTTTATTATAAATTTGAACTATATAACACCATATCTAATATTATTTTACATATAGTGAAATTACTCCATTTTTATTGATAAACCTTTAACTTGAAATAACCAGATTTTTGTGAGATTAACCTATTGATAACCTGTTATTACTGAGATTTTGTACTTTTGTTTTTATTTATATATTCTTTCCATTGTGATACATATCATATTGCTAGGTTCTTACTAATACACAATACTGTTTGATCATTTGCATACAAAAACATAATGAGACATTGATCAAATGTTATCATCCTACTGTTAAACTTGTTAAATTAAGTAGTTACACAAAAACATTAGTTTGATAGTGTATAGAGGAGTAAATTTTGCCAGTTACTCTAGTATGACAGCACTATGTTAAGATAATAATTCAGTTATACTGAGATGACACACTGTTAAATGTAATAGACATTTACAATTTGAGATTTTACAATCAAGAGATTCAGCTGTGGCTGGCATATATTGCACAGCTGCTCTACTGCTCTTGTTATTTTCCACCTTTTGACACTGCCTGTACTGCTTTGATCCACTCTTTTCTTTCCTCGGCTGTAGCAGCTTGGAGGAAGTAGTGAGTCTCATCAGAGGTGATGATCTCAAAGAGGTTGCCGTCAATGTCGTATTTTTTGGCTGAAACCAGGAAAAGAGGAGGAAAAGGAGTTAAAAGGGACGAGTTGAAGAGAAGCTACTGACAGTAAACAGCAGTTATATTTCCTGGTTGCAGTCTGTCACAGTGGGGAAGCAACATGGGGCATGTGTAACAGTGTTTTCACTCACCATCAGGCACATACTCCACAGCTGTAACTACAGATCCACGGAGATGGATTGAGCCCAGGGGGTCATCACCCTAACACAAAGAGAGAAAAGGAAGCAGAAAGTAGGAACAATAAAAATTATGTGAGAAAAAGAAACTCTGAACATTTTCTGGAAGTAATATACAATATATGTACCTTTGTAGGGTCATAATAATGCATGTAAGCGGGGTCGTCTCTCAGTATGAACTTTCTGACCTTCCAGTTTTTTCTCCTATGTCCCTGTGATTTAAAAAAACACAACAAATGTTTGATCTGATTTGATGAACACCCCTAGCAAATGTGACATTGTTCCAAGCAAATATGAAGGACACTTCCTCTTTCCTCTCAGTTTCAAATTACTTGTCTAAATTTAATGAAAAAAAGTTAACACTTTCCACCGCAGGATTACATGTTATTTTTACCCACATGTCTGTGAATGTGAGAGTTCCTTTGAAATGTGGGGCATCTCATTAAAAGATTCTTATGTGAGTTCACAGCATTTATACCTTGTAAATTAACTCTGTAAAGGCCCACAGTACAACAAAACACTGCCACACTTTTACTTGTTTTTTGATTTACCTGTTTAAGTAAACAGCCCTGTTTTATGATGTTTCCTCTGAATTCTTCCTTCAAAAGCACATCTTCATCACTAGAGTAGCCTTCACAGAAGAACCCACTGTCTGCCTGCCAAAAAGCACAGCCAACCACACACATCAAATATAGATACAAATAAATAGCATAAAACACATCCACATAAAACTGACAATCAGTACTTACAAAGTAATAAAGAGCATTTGTGTGATCTAAGAAGGCTGTTTGCTCTGCACTCTCTGCTCCTTTTGACATGTCACCCGCAGGCTGGAGAAAACCCTCATTCAGGAGCCCTGTTGCTAACATGAGGGCCTCAGGTCTATTTCTCGCTTTTCCTTTTGAAATCAGCCACTCTACCACTGTTGCACCTGTGTAAAAATAGGGAAGGAGCGGGGGGAAAGTGATACAGTTAGAAGATAAAGAAAAAAAACAACTTCTTCCACACCTGTAACATCAATAAAACCAAGACAATACCGGTGAAACAGTGGTTGAAGACACGATTGTCCTGCTCCAGTTTTAACTCTCTCACTCCATCATCTTGGTCTTTCATCAGTGTGTACAGCTCACTAAGAAAACACAATGGAGACACAGTCAACATGTATTGCCATGCTGTCATTCGATCACTAAGCACAAGCAATTGAGCATTCACTAAACCTCTATCCAAAATCATTAGTGTCTAAGCAACCATAAGTAGACAAGACAAGCTATCAAGCTTTGCATTTTCTCCACATGCGGAACTGGTGTGGTCTACTGGTAAGAGCGAACGGTGATAAAATACTTGCTTTAACGTTTCTACGTCCGTTCAGGACAGACACATACAGCATGTGTGCAGCGGTCTTGCTACTTATCATGTTATAGTTAGCGGCTAATTTCAATGCATTTGGGGAAGTTTAAACTCCAGCAGTAACAGCCAAACTTGTTAGTTGCCAACCACATTAGTTAGTCCTCATCCACGCAGCCTATTCTCTTGCAACTTTAAAACATATTGTTTGAAACAACAGTAAAACACAAATCTAACCTATGTGTTTCTTGTCTATGTATGGTTTCCTGTAATAAACTAACCCTAATCATGTGATATCATCCACTGAGCTGTCAAGTGCATATTTAACACCTATTTTCAGGTTTGTCTTTAGCCACGGAGTTTTTCACTCAGAGTTACAGCCAGCAAAATTGATAGTCAATAGAAGCCTGGTTTTGTACGCCTTTCTCTGAAATTAAAGATTCTTTGAGTGATCTTTCACCATTATCACTGTAAACTAGGCTCTATAATGCTGGTCAAGAATGGAACCCTTGACAGGTGTAACACCAGCAACTAGCTGAGTCTAGAGTCAATTCTTAGAATCAAATGAATCCATTAATAGGTCTTTTCAAGTAATTGTTTCCACCACGAGGAAGATTTTGCAGAACATACGTCAGGTTGACTGTTTCAGGCAGGCGAATGGAGCGTCTTGTGGACTTCCTGGCAAACTTTTTTCCTCCCTGTATGCAGGTAATGGCCCTCTTGATGTCCTTGACCCAAAACTCTCTCTCCTCCACATGCGAGGCTTGGAAGAAGTGATCCTGCTTCTTCTCTGTGGTAATCTTGAAAACCATCTAAATGGAACCATATCAGTCAGTCACGCTGTTATATTTTCAGTTTTTAATGACTTATTCAGCTGTCTTTAATAAGTAATCTCATCAAATTCCATGATTGTATTTTTAAACTCACTAATCCTTATACTCTGCTAAGTATCATCTTTGCATCTGTAATTGTTCAGATTTTTCAGCAGGTATACATGACATTTTCTTACCGTCCTCTTGCCAAAATCCTGGCAAGGACTGATGAGTGTGGCTCCCTTCAGGGGAATCATTCCTTTGGGAGAATGGTCTGTTTTCTTTTTATAGAATTCCACCCCATCATCTGACAGCACCACCCACACAGCTTTCCAGGAGTTTAGCACTGTACCCTGAGGATCAATAAGAAAGTTGACAACAGGCAGCCATGAGCTGTGGAAGTAGCTGCTTCCAGTATGTAGTTGTTACAGACGGCATGTTGTACATTAACTGAATAGTATGATTTATACATCAACATGTATTTGTCATTACTAAAGGTACATGTGTCTGTTAGTTTGATATCCTCCCTTCCCTTTTCCCTAGTCCAAATATAACCACCAGAAATAGTACCGTACATCACACGTCTTTCTTTTAGCAGTGACCCTCAAATCAGAGTGCAAGGTATTGAAAGTCACTCAAAAGTAATAAAGTTTTGCATAAAAAAAAGGTTTAATTGTTGTTGAGATGATGTTACATGGAAAATGCAAAAAAAATGTTTGGTTTTACAAGAATTCCCCTCTATAAATATATCTTTTGCTTTGTGTTTCATTTCACACACTGAGTTTACGGACATGAAGTCGAAGATTAACGTACAGGCTTAAATAATGAAAGCACGCAGCTACTATCTGACCAGGCAGCATTTACCAGAAGCATTAAAATGCAGAAATGAATCTATAGTTAGGAGTTCTAGTAATACGTATGGGGAAGAAGAATCACTGGCTTTGCCAACCCCACTCTGGACCAATTTGGGTACAGGTTTCATTTTACTTGGTTGGGTTTAGAACAAACCATGACAAGCTTGCAGTGTACTCTGCTTCATTCCCTCCCCGAGGGAACAGAAGCAGGTTGTTTAACTAGTGTCACTTTTTTCAGAGAGGCATGTGTTTGAGAGAGTATAACATTTAAAGTTGCATAACTTGTGTTAGAAACAAAGTCTTCCCAAAATAAATCTACTGTGAAACACATGCATGCTTCAAGCATCCCAAGAAAACTGTGTGCAGAATTGTGCCTGTGCTCATCAAATTCAACCATGCCCAGGGATACATAACATAACAGAAATATGTAACAGATAATGGAGTTGGAATATTAGCCTTTGCCTACTGAACAGCTGGAGCCCTTAATCTTGTCATTCATGTCCTGCACTGTGTGTAATGGATACTTGATCATTCATATTTTCTTTTTATACGTACCATCGTGTATAAACTCTGTTAATCCAAAACACAGTTTTGGATTACAATAAGTATGTTATTAAATTGTGCATTCATAAAAGTGATTTCCACTCTCCAAAGTATCAACACAAACCTGGACTTTTCTTACTGTGTAACGATTTAGTCTTTCTTTCAATACTTTCCAACCTCCCTAAGCTGTCTGTGGCACTCAGCCCCAAGCCAGTTTGTTCCCACGGTGAAAGTACAACTACAGAACAAATGTATGGTTTTATTTTGAAAAAAGTATGCAATGACACCAGCAAGTACACCAGTGTTGATGGAGGTATTTTGGCACAGAGGAAGCTACTGTATATAAAGGTTTGGCTATACACAGGCACTTCTTATTAGTCAGATCAATTCATGTTTGACAATAAGAAAAATATAGAGTACAACCAGTAATCAATATTGAAATGTCAGTACTTAAATCTACAGATAGGAAATAAACAATTGAAGATGATTTTTTTTTTTTTTTTTATTGTAAGAGAGATTTTACTGCTGGACATTGATATAGGTTTTTTGTTTGACCCTTTGCCTTTGACACTGCCACAGTAAGTCATAGGCGACCCATTAATCAGTTGTTTGTTTTCATATTATCTTTTCCACTATGTACATGAAGAAAAGTGTTATCTGCTAACACCTCCCAACTTTAGGCATGACCATTGCCCACAGCTGTGTCTGTTTTTAACAACCATGTTGTCATCAGATTATTCACAGAATTCACACACACTGACACAGAATTAACAAAGTTTTCACAATAAAGGACAAAATGAAAAGAAGATATTGGGTAATAAAGTTGTTTCTGATATATAACACGGAATGTAAGAAACATCAAAAGAATAATAAACGTAAGCAAAAAAACGTTTTATCAAATACACTATACATGCCTTTGATTGGTATGTTAGATGTGTTGAAAGAAAAACAGTCACACTTGGCTCGATCTAAAAAAAACGCGTGAGTGGGTTGAAGGTGTGAAACAAACAAGTCATTGTACATTCTATATTAAATTCCAGTTTATGTGTAGAAAATTGCTTATGCATGAACACACATTATTCATATGTCTGACCCCTGTTGTTCCAGAAAGCAGTTTGAATGTGTTTTCTTTGTGTTTAGCGACGTCACAGTATTTTCATGACATATCGCAAGGAGGCAGCATATGTTTAAAGTCACTGCATCCTTTCTCTCCAAGAGTGTAAAACTGTTTGTATGTAAAACGGTGGAACATTTCATGTTTAGCTCTTGGTTCTGGACAGAAGCAGGAACTTGAGTTTTTGTTGCAACGGTAGAACAGAAGTGAATAGTTGTAACTTTCATGTGAGATGCTCATCTCTTCCTCTAGGTGCTAGTAATAACCATATTCTTTAACAGAGTTGTTTGTCCAGTCTAGCCTTTTTGAGATGTTTATTTATTTATTTTTGCCACAGTTTGGGTGACTGATGCAACAGTGACGGTGTTCATCACCACCACTGTAGTAGTATCACAAACCTGTTACCAAAAAAAAGTTTTGTTTTACTATATTGCCTATCAAGAGTGTGTTGCTTTAAAGCCAAACCTCTAAGTATCACTTGGAATTCAGAATGGATCTACTTTTTCTTACAGAAGCAATCATATCATTGCCAAAGTTGTCAGTTTGGTTACGATATTTAAATAGCGTTAGACTTAGATAAAAAGTATGTTCAAACTCTGCAAATGCAGTGCAAGGAAGTGGATAGCATTTTTTGTGTTTTCTTGTAGTTATTCTTACCTTTTTCACCAAGTATCCCTCTCTGATCTGTTGTGGCTCCATTACCCTGCTCTTTGCTGCTGTGAGCTGCAACTTTTGATAGAGACTGTTAAAACATTTCACACACTCTCCACTCTCTCTCTCTCTCTCTCTCTCTCTCTCTCTCTCTCTCTCTCTCTCTCTCTCTATTTCTGTATCTGTCTGCCTCTGTGCCTCTGTCGAAACCACAACCACACACACACACAAGCAGGAAGTTGAGCTGTTGGGTGTGTTACATTGATGATTGGTCAAACAGCTTCCTCTTTATTACAGCTACTGCTCAGCTGTCTCTAAAACCACTGACAGTATCTAAACTTTATTGTGGACATTTACTGTAAAATGCATCTCTTTTAAATATGTCTATAGATTTAAACAGAGGAGGTTGAACTGGAAAAGAAACAGTAAATGTGCCTCAACTTTAACCACATTTGAATCTAAATGTAAGTATTTTTTTGCTGTGCCTATGGTTGAGCAATTTCCTTTACTGGACTATTCTTCCCACTATTACATTTAGGAAAAGTAATAAAAAATAAATAAAAAAAGTTGATTCTACTTCATCTATTTCTTTATTGTCTTTTATATGTTGCTTTGGTGCATTTTTTGTCGTAAGTAAGGCACATTCAATGGGTTCTGTGAAAGCTGCTGTATAAATAAACCAATCAATAAAGCCTATACTCTAATTCGTATGAGTACATGTGGGCTATGTTTGGGTGCAGCTGACCTGAGTCAGACTTCGGTTAATCTATTTCTGTAAAAGCAAAGGTTCCTCTTTTCCTAATTCGTCTTGTTAATGTGGCTAAAGTGTGTTGTAGTTGCAGTGAAGTTTACAAGCTAAACGACTTTGCATACAACAGGAATTTGTTAAACCTCAAAAGGTATAGGAAAAACTGCAACTGAGAGCTGCAGTCAGCAGAGCAATGGAACTATAATTCTATGCTATGCTGGATTGTTTCACCCACGCTATAGCAGACCATGTGTCACAGCATGCACTTACACAAACTGTAATAATTTCACAACATGAGAAGTCTGCACATCTGAGGTGTCAGCTCTCATCAATTTGGTCACCCGACGGTTTGCATCAGTGGAAACCATCCGAGCAGATAATGAATTGGCTGACAGAGATAAAGATCTGGGTGCTATATGTGACAGAATGAAAAGGTGTTTTAGAAGATTGTAACTGAACCTACCTAGTATGGATTTGTCTTGTACTTTTTATTTTGTTTATCTGAATAATCCTTATTCACATATGAAGCAATTTACAGGTTGTGGACACAATAGAATTAACATCTGTATTGTATAACTGGTGGTGCAATGTACATTTTCTCAGGTTTGTTTTTTTTTTTTTTCTAGTTTTCTATGAGTATTTTTACTTTTGATATTTTAAGTACATTTTGCTGATAATACATACATACTTTTAAGTAAAGTACCTGAATACTTCTTCCAACACTGACTGTAATGCTCTCCAATACAATATCTAAGCAGCAAAATGTGATACAATTGTGAAAAAAAAGGATGTTTACTTTCTGTTCCATTTGCGTCAGAGGCCTTGGTTTATTTTTGATGTGATGTTGTCAGTGTTCCTCTAGAGGGTCTCATAAACACATGTAAGCTGAATGGCATCTGAGATGTGCTGTCCTGCAGTCAAGGGCTACAATAACCCTAAAAAGAGGATTAGAAAGAAAAAAAAGGGTGATAGATAGGAACAATTGGTCAATGAAGATAAAAGGGATGATAAAAATAGGTGAATACCTCATAAGAGTTAACAAATTAAATTAAATGTATGTGTATCTCTGCTGGTGAAACTGCCATGGAGGGGTTTCAGTTGATTGGGATCATTTAGGCGACTGGAGTTATTTATAAGCCTCTTATAATAATCTTATGTGTTCAGTCAATCCTCCTAATGGAAACCAAGTTTAAGCTAACTGCCTTGTTTTAATCACAGTTTTTGATGATAAGACCATAGTAAAAGTCACCTTCTGATGATGATCTCATTCCTATAAACGACAACAGGGACGTTCTCTGTGACCGTGGCGTTTATCAAAGGGGACACTGGCCATACTGTTTGTCTGTCACACTTGAATCATGCCTTCCTCGTGCCCATGCTATGAATAAACATCAAGGGAGCTGGCGTTTATGAGTTTATTGATGAATCTTGGGCCAGTGTGTTTCATTAACTGTCAACATAAGAGTCATAGCTCTGTGGTGGTGATCCAAAAAGGGGCTCGAGGTATGGAATGTTAATTTCACTGAGAAAACAAAGACAGAAGCGAAGAGGACACTACAGAGCATTTGTAATCTCTTGTTCTAATCAAGGACAGCTTCAGAGAAAGAAAAAACATGGTTTTCTTTGTATGAGACACATGAAGTGGCAATTAAAGCACAGAGAAAGGGAATCACAATAAAAACATTTGGTTTATTTCACTGAAATCATGTCTCTGCTCTTCATTCCTCTGCTGTCTTTTCATCTAGTGCACAAAGCATGTACAAGGTACTGTACATCCTGGGAATAGAGAGAAGAAACAGAACTGTTATCACAAAGCCTTGAAAAGAAGTTGAGTAAGGTACTGTAAGCATGATGAAATTGAAGTAACAGGACATCTTTATACCAAAAGTAAACATTCGCCCTCTTTCAATCTCACAAACCCTTTTCACTCACTCCTGAAATACCCTGTGAACATCTGTTGTCAAACACTTACCAGGAGTCATTATGTATATAATGTACTTTGACTATTATAAGGAACTGTCATTTCCTATATAATGCATAAAACGCTCTGTCCAGCTTCCTGGTGAGTCAGAAGAATCTGAACCATGTGCATTGAATATCCTGTGGCGAAAACTCACCCAGACAGTTTGGTACATTTCATCCCTATATTTCTCTCTCTTTTTTCTGAAAATATAGCGCTTTGAACCTGAAAGTGAAACTTCTCTTTAGATCCTGACGGAAAACCACCAAAGTCAGAGTTTGCTCTGACTTTGAAAAACATCACACTTTACTTCAACTGAAAATTATGCAAATTTAAAGTCTTGTGTTTTTCATTGAAATAGTCTGAATATTCCTATTCCTGACTAATTGATTTGTTTCTGTTTTCTCAGTCCTTAAATGTGGTATTACCAACACACAGGGGTGGACAGTAAGAGCACTTACTTGAGTACCATACTTAAAGCTGTTATCAATATTTCTGTAACAACGAGTCACATAACTACTTGGATGTTTGGGGTTGCTCTTTGTGTCAACCCACCGAGAATTATCATCTGATTGTTTTTAGCATTTCAGTGCACTTTTTTGGTTCACTCTCATCAGTTTTGTTTTCAGCCACGGCAGCATTACACCTATGCAGCTGTGTACCATTTTTTTCCCCCAAATTAGTAAACAGAGTATTCACAGTTTACGTAATCTGGTTGAAATTCATATACATTTTTTAATTGCTTAAAGATTTAATCATCAGAAAAGTGCACGTCATGCAAGAGAGTCAATAACAACAAATGTGTAATGGTATAGTGTGTTGATTGACAGACAAGGTCAACTCATGCACTGCGTAACATGCAAGAAAACATTCCACCTTAAAAGTTGCTGATAGCTACTGGTAACCACTGAGTGGCACAGTGAATTGAATTATGTTCCAGTGAGCAAATGTTAATCAGTAAAGATGAGTAAGTAAAGCCATCCTTTCATTCATCATTTACTCTTGACAGTTTCTTTACATGTGATACATTTTCAATGTAACATTACATATAACTTGGCCAGCTTGTGCTTGCTTTGCTATGTTTTTCTAGCCTAGATTGTGTGGTCAGCTATAATTGACCAATGTATGTAAACTTGGCACCACAGGAATGGTGGTTACATAACCTTTAAAACGAGCCACAACTTATCCGTGCGTCATAGGTACACTCTGGTACTACAAATAGCACTACACCTCTGCACAACATGTAAGTGTTAACAGTGAAGAAACTTTGATAAACCAACGCTACACAGCCTGCCCAGCAACATATAGCAGGACAGAGTTTGTGATAAAAGGCAACACTGTGTTCACCAGAACACTGCATATGTCTTTAACTTCAGTATTTCCCTGTCTTCTCTTACTTTATACTTGTAGTCCACAACAGCTTTTCCCCTATGCTGCTGTGTCAAAGTTGAATTTCTCACATAGGGGATCAATAGAAGAACATATTTTATATTAAACACTTATATTATCTTATTTTATCTAGGCAAATATTGTGCTTTTTACTCTTCTACATGTATTTGACAGTTGTATGCTAATAGAGACTTTACATTAAAAAATACATGATTAGATAATAAAGACAATAACATCTGTGTGTCAGACAGAGTGTGAATAATTATGAGGAAAATAATCTGTTTTTGAGCATTGAAGCATGCAAAACTATTGTAGAAGACCCCCAAATACAAGTAGGAACATGATTATTAGCATAATATGTGCTCTCTAATGCTTCTGTACATTTACTTAATCACCATTTTAAATGCAGCACAATTTTTTTACTTGTAACTCAATATTTTCATTCTGTTATTACTGCATTACACTTATGTAAAGGAGCTGCTTTTTCCAACACTGCTAATATAAAACAGCAATATAGGATTCAGCAGTATAGAAAGTTCTATGTTGCTCCAATTTTTTCCTCCTCTCTTTCCTCATATTGAACACAGCAATAAATACTGCATGTGTTGTTCCTCCCGCTGCCCCACCCTCTGCCATAGCTCTTGTTTTGCTGCCCAGGGATTGAGACATCTTCATCCCAGTCCTCTGTACCTCACAAGCGCCATCAATAATTCTGCTAAAGAGTGCACTGAGCTGAAAATGGGAGGGGAGGTTGTGAGGGGGAGCAGGTGATGGCTTTTCTATGGTACACTCAATCTCTCCTCTACCTCCTTCTATTCCTGATGTGCTCCCACACTTCCTAACATGACCTTCTGCAATGTTGTTCATCATTTTATGCTGTATGGACAACAGGCACATGCAGCAGGCATACAGCTCTTAGGCCTGACATAAAGGAGGCACACTTTGAAGCAGCTCGAGTAGGTTCTCAAGAGGGCTTTTATTTTCATAGTTTTTATTGCTGGAGCCATTATTAATCTGAATTATTTGAAAAGTTACCTTAAGCAAAATATTGCAGACCTATTATAAAAA